AGTACACGTACATACGATCTGTGCAAACTAATTCATCCGTTGAATAACCTTATTCTTAAAGATTATCAGTTTAGCACTGTAGTGAAATAAATCAAACAACAAGTTATTAATTTAATGCTTCCGTTTAAGAGCTGTTCATATAAACAAATTGCCGTCCTACCAAACACCAAACTTTGCATATTATGCCATAATAGACGCAATGCGTAAATACGACATACTTATTATCTGCATACGATAACCTGTCTTTCCATTTGGTTTAGATTAAGCTTTATTCGAGCTTATAAGGGCAGGAAAATGTCGTTTTATTCTATAAACACTTGGCAGAAAGATACATATGGATAACCAAAAATATTCAAGATGAATCGTAGAATTTCTATTAATTTCATTTGTTGGTCTGTTGTGTATCGGAATGTCAAAGGTCAACTGTAAACCGTTTGATACTCAAATGAAAAACCGCAGTTTTGTTTATTGACAACAGTAATGTTGAGACTCACTAAACACTTTTTTTTTGTGTTTTTTTAAACCTTTAGATGTTTCCTTTAAACTGAAGAAAATACTGCTTTGTATAGGTTATGCAAGCTTAACAGAAGATAATATTGACTTTATTCAGTTTCAATCTTTGAAACGGACAAAAAATTACATATATCTCAACAAATTCTCTGATGTTATTGTTATTAAAAAAAGTCAGATAATATAGCTACTACTGAAAAATAATATCAAAGTTTCCCAAGTGAGTTGTTGAAACAGCATTATTGTGGATGGCGCATGTTCTTTATATTGATTCAGAATATTTTGGATCTGCCCAATGATATCGTTATCATTACATTTGACTCAAATATTGCCATAACTTCTTTATACATGTTCATGAAGTATTTGTTCAGATGCTTACAAAGCATACCACACATACATGTAGTCTTATACACTTTTTATAAAAGAAATTTTGATTATGTTACATTGTTAGCCCCTCCCCTCCTAAATAAAAAGAGGGGAGGGACCCAAGTCCTCATTTTCAGACAATAGTCCATATTATTGTGTTGGTTAAGTTTCCATATTTAGTTTGGAAAGTTTTTATTCTATTTTAGGTCCCGCGCGCGTCTTTGTCTCGCGCCAGGTTGTAGCGTCACGTGACGACGCTTTATAATAGCGAAAACTTTTTTTAAAGCATTTTTATTTCTTTTTAGGTGGAGACGTTGGACAGACAACATGCATAGCGACGGAATACACACAATGTATTTCTTTTGTCATTGTAGGTAATTGACGTTTTGATCACATTTCACGAGCAGTGCATGCTTTGGATTTAATTGATCCGGTGTAACTTTAAAACACGTTTATCGATTATTTTCATACAATGTACATTTTTCAGTACCAGTTTGTAACACAGATTTGTATTTTAATCTATGAGCAGACATTTTATTGTAGGATTTTACTGAGATTTACGGAGCTAGCAAGCAATTTTTACGGCATTGAAATTTCTTTTCTCTAAGAAAATTCTTGGGAGGTAGCTGCACAACGTTGTCAAAATACGGCGAACTACATGTATACCCTAGTGGCTGCAAAGTTTGGGGTCGATTGGACATGTAGTTTTAGTACAGTAGTGGACACAAGAGTTTGGTCAATGTTTTTCGAGAAGAATTGTAATAACAATATTAAAAACCAATTGTTCAGAGAACAATTGAAAGTCTTTCCACATCAATTTCTAAATTATTGACGAGAAGCTACTTCTAATTTATTCTATAAACTAAGTAACTATTAGCGTCCTTAGATAGGTTTCTTCATACTGATTCAATAAATATATGGTTTCTATACATTTTTTTCTAAATAAGGGAGATAAATTGTTACTTCCGGTTTGAAATATGTCACTTGGCTTTCCAACTTGAAATGATAATACAAAAAGTCCCATGACTTTATCATGTATACATATGACGTCGAAGGCAAAGGTTAAAATCTAGAACGTCAAATTTATCAATGACCTTGAGCTCAGTTTCAAGGTCATAAACCAAGGACCTCAAATCAAAAGACCATAGGTCTTTAATATATATGGTTAATGAGTTATCATCATACACGTTATTTTAAATATAAAGGGGGAGGAAACTTCAATTTAATGTAAGCGTACCATTTCAACCAAAATGTATGTGTTTCGACATGTCGCAACTAACAATTGAGTAAAAATATGTTGTCGATATCTTATACGGTTTTTGAAAAGAAGTGAAAATAAGCAAAAATCAAAATTAAGAATATGACCTTGACCTAATTTTCATTTTTTTGGACCAAGGACCTCAAATCAAAAGACCCTAGGTCTCTCTCACTTAAAGTTTACCAGTAAGAAATGCATATCACTTATATCAAATGCATAAGGGGAAATAACTCTCATATGAAATTTCATTACGGCTTCGGTCAATATTAAACAAAACATCCTCAGGATATAACGAGCAATTTGGTAAAAATAAATTTGTCGTAATCTTTTACGGTTGCGAAGGAGTAGTATACACAAGAAAAACAGTGTTTGGGGAGATAACTCTTACAAAGTAAAGTTTTTTGTTTCGCGGTGTCAGTTTCAAAAGCGTATCAACTGTACGATATTATATACCAAAAATCAAAGCGACATATTTTGAAACAACAATACAGCGGAGGAAAATATTTAGGCGGAAGAAAAAAAAAAAAAAAAATCAAACAAAAGCAATAGGTCTTTCCACGGAAAAGTGGAAAGACCTAATAATCAGAATAAATACAATAGGTCTTTACACCGAAAAGTGGAAAGACCTAATAAGCATATTAGTAGGACAACACTTATACAAATATAAATCATTTGTTTTAAAAACAATTGTTAACGGTCTTTCCCCTCCGAAACATGACTCATTAATTGATTTTTATTGATTGATTAAATGATTGGTTGGTTGATTGGTTGGTTGGTTGGTTGGTTAATTAATAAATTAATTGATTGATTGACTAATAAAACACGTGATATAGGGTCACTTGAAACAAGCGAACAAGAAACAAATGAGATCTTGGACACCGTATTAAACACATTGGACCGACACAAGCATGCAATGATTGATTGATTGGTTGGCTGGTTGGTTAAACACATGAGACCTAGACTCTAGGAACACGTGAAAAAGGAATTGAGAGCGTAGTTCCCGTGTTTAAATACTTGGGACCTAGCCTTTAGGAACACGTGAAAAAGGAATTGAGAGCGTAGTTCCCATGTTTAAATACATGAGATCTAGCCTCTAGGAACACGTGAAAAAGGAATTGAGAGCGTAGTTCCCGTGTTTAAACACGTGAGACCTAGCCTCTACGAACACATGAAAAAGGAGTTGAACACGTAGTTCCCGTGTTTAAACACGCGAGACCTAGCCTCTAGGAATACGCGAAAAAGGAATTGAGAGCCTAGTGGCCGTGTTTAAACACTTGAGACCTAATCTCTAGGAATACGCGAAAAAGGAAGAAAGAGCCTAGTTCCGGTGTTTAAACACTTGGGACCTAGGCTCTAGGAACCGCGAAAACGGGTCCGTGCAACATGTTTATTTATATTCAAATTATGATATTTGTAGGAACATGCAAGGATTTAAACACACTTACAAAGAGTATCCTTGCATTTTCCTTTATAAATGTTCTCTTTTTTTTAGGGCTTCCTGGAATTGGTGTCATATTTACTTATTGATCTTATTGTGTGTGCATTGTATTTAGTTTTGTATTTAAAGGAAATCGGACCTGACCTGCATGGATCTTTTGTTTTAAATCTACGTGCACATTTTAATTCTTTTCGAAAAGGGGAAAACTCCTATTTTATTTTAGGAAGCACGCGCTGCACCGGATGATGTGATTGTGACGTCACCAAGCAGATATACACAAATAGTTTAATTTATTTTAATTAATTTCTTTGCAGAGGAGACGTCGTCAAGACCACACCGGTGTATAAAGATTGTGCTAACAGATTTAATTTTCTTTCATTTACAGGTTAATGATGTCGGAGCATGCATGCTTTTTTCGTACACATATTTACGGGAACACAGAATTGTATTTTAATGCATGTTTAGAATTTCACTAATATTTACGAACTTTGGAGAGATTTCAACGTCATTGATTTTAATTTCTCAATGCAGATCAGAACGTCAAGCGGACTGCACGTGATTTATAGATATTTTCTTGATCCATTTTACAGGTAAACTATTGTCCAATAGCTGACCACTAGTCTTCATTCATTACATGCACACAAAAATAATGCTGGTGTTATAGTACTTTAACACAACTTTTATCGATTCATTTCAGAAAATACATGAATAGGAGCAGATTTATTTTTGCAGGAATGGATTTCTATTTCAGAAAGAAGTTTGTACATAAGAAGGATTAGCATTTTTACAGTCAAATAGAAATGGGATTCCTCAAACAAAAAAACGATAAGAAGGGGGGGGAGGGTACCCAGTTAACACAAAAACATTGTGTTTATGTTTTAAAAACATTTTGAAAAATGTTGTGAAAATATCGTAGAAAATATCAAAATCACGTTAAAATGTATGGCGCTAAAAATATTTTCAAAACATTTTCCATAACATGTCCAGGATATTTTTAAAACATCATTAAAACGTTTCTGAATTTTGTTGACAATGTTCGTAAAACGTTTCCTGGGTCCCCTTATGGAGCTACAATTATGGTTAATCTAATGCCTACTATTTCACTCAAACTTTGTCTAGTTTAGAGCCTGTGGCCCCTCTTTTCATAATCCTGGATCTGCATCTGAAAAACAACTGCTGTCATACTGATCTTTACCCCACATCTCCTTTTACAATTGTTTGTTGATTGCAGTTGATTCTACATATATTTTGTTTACTTTTGTCGGATTTATGTATCATTGACATAACCCTATTTTTTGTAATACCTTGAACACGTAATAATTTGTCATGGTTTTTTTTCTGATTTTAATCTTTGTGCATTTTTTTTCTGAAGTTTTTTTACTGTTTTCTTTGCTGCCTTAGTCAACACTATACAAGATAGAATTACAATTATAAATGCAAAACATTTATTCAATATTTTCGTATCACTGTTCTTTTTCAAAGTTTCTTTTGTTCCATTCTTTTTATTTCTTTTGACATCTGCTGGCTTCTGTAAAATAAAGTGTAAACAAATAAGTCCTTCTGTTTAGTGATTAAACGAGTGGAAATTCAGCTAATTTCATTGAATTACACAATAAACTATTTTTCTTCAATTTAATCCAGTGTTTTCACAAAAATATATTGAAAAGTGTCATCTAATCAGTGTTAATGGACTCAGAAGCAACAATTGTAGCTACTTTATACATCTGTAGAGTTTGGGGTGTATTATTATTACAAAAGTGTAACGGTAGATTTCACCAGTTTATAAAATAAGACATGTATACTGTACACTACAATTTTCTCAACTTAGAGTAGCCAGCCGTGTAGGGCCTGTAACATTTTCTTGGTCTTACAAAAAAAAAAGCAAGTTTCGTAATGGTTATTGTATATTGTAGCGCAAATACATGAACTATAGATTGAGGATTTTAAAGAATAAATACCTTCATAAAATTTGCTCCTCCAGGATGGTTTGAATCATTTCTAAGCTTATATTCTTCTATATAATCCCCATTTCCATTCTCAATTTTAATCTGCATTTCTGAAAATCTATCCTAAATTTTGGTACGTCTAATCATGCTAACTGATCCTACAAAAGTTAAAATAAACAAAATAAATAAAATACAGGTAAGAAAAAGTCACATTGTATCAGTCATCTACAAAGGCCACAACATTAAAAAAATAAACAGCTGCGCCATGAGCGCATGATACGCCCGTCGCATTTTTCAAAGAAAAAAGTTCAATCATTTCTCAATGTCAAATCAGAAATTCATGAAAATTAAAAGGGAGCTTAAGTCAATAGATATTAACTATTCACCAAAGTTTAAAGAGAACTGCTGAAAGCGTTTTTGAGTTATTGTCCGAAAACTAGAAAATCCACGCTATTTTTAATGAATAAAATACCAGAACTCGGAAACGTAAAATCTAAAATTTAAAAAGTTTTATTCAAATTGGTTAAAGCATTTATGAGTTAATGTACGACATGTTGACGACAAACATACGGACAACAGTATACCATAATACGACCCGTAAACGGGCGTATAATTAAAGACAATTCAAACAATGAAACTAATGGCATAATTTATAAAACAAATATGTCAGAAATGAACCGACAACTACTGAATCAAACTTCTGTCTTGTGACCTGCACATAAATAATTATCTGGCCTTGGGCTGGGCTGTAGGGCTAAACACAAATGTACAAGTTACATAAACAATATATTAAAAAATTATTATAGTACAGGGGCGCGTATCATTGTGGGGCGGAAATATATGCCAGTCGACTGGTATGCGTTATATATTGTGTGTTTATAGCTAACCATTGCGTGTTAGAGATTCCCTTGACTAGTAGATACGTAGCCAGCGATTGAGCTAAGGAAGTACTGCTTAAAAAAGCGTCAAAGGGCTGACTTGTAACACAGAACTTTTCAGACATGCTCACTGGTTACAAGTGATTACATTTATGAATTTTAAAGTCATATAAATAACCCTTAAGTTTAACCCCTTTTCTTTAATTCGTAATGTTCACTGGACATAAACATCATAACATCTAGGTAGACTAAACCATCACCCCCTTTTTGCATTGTGCTTGCTTACACTCGTATTAATTCTTGGAATATATTAATCAAATTAACCAAGATATTTCCAGAAGCATAACAATGTTTTATAAATGTGAACTAGTGTCATATCTTACCAGTTTTAACGCATGATAAGGTTATTCTTTATTTTGTACGTTTCCTTTGTCTTTGTTTACAGCATGGTAAATAAAACTTCCGGTTACTGGTTTCCAAAATTGCTTCGGATCATGTTCGTTGGTCATCGGGAACAGTTAGATTTTAAATGTGTAAACTTTTGTTGTCGGTACTGGAACAGAAAATCCGGAAAATAGCAATACGTGCACTGTAAAAGGCTATATATGGAAAGTACCGCTTCAATCACTGTCATCTGATGAAATAAAGTTTTTCTTCCATAACCTAAATTAATGTTTGCAAAATATTGTTTAAACATTTTCTATTAAATGTTTTTAGGTAAATGTATTCATAATATTTTTTTTAAATGTTGTTAAAATATTAGCAACAAAATGTTTTATAAATTCATTTTCTCAATATTAAATGCGTAACGTTTTTTAAATGTTTTTTGGTAAATCTTTACATAATATTATTTTAAAATGTTGTTAAAATATAAGTAACAAAATGTTTTATAAATTCATTTTCTCAATATTAAATGCGTAACGTTTTTAAAATGTTTTCATCAAATATTATGAAGAAATGTTGTTAAAATATCTTAAAGGCATGTTATTAAAACATTTCATGAAACATTTTTAGAAAATGTTTTCAAAACATCGCAGCAATATTGTTAAGAATGTTTTACTCATGTGCTTTTAAAATGTTTTTCAGAGGTAGAACGTACATATCTTCTGAACATTTATAAAACATTCAAACAAAATATCTTAAAAATGTCATTGAAAACATTTTCATGAATATTCTTACATCATTGTAAAAACATTTTCAAGAAATGTTTTAAATAAATGTTTTTAAAATACAAGAAAAAATATCTACATAACATCACGAAAATATTTTTTCGACAACGTTTTGAGACGACATTTATACAACCTTATAAAAATGTTTTGAAAATGTTTTGTGCTACCTGGGTACTGATGGACCTTGGTTGATCAATAAAGATAAATTGCATGAATGCATCATGATAGCTGTTTGATGCTATAATTAATTAAATTGTTCATGTTTTCCATTTCAGTGGCATGGAAACCCCCAAAAATGACGCGTCCCATTTCGACAAAAACTCTCCAGTCATATCATGTCGCAACAATTTGGTTAATTTTTTTTGACGATAACTTAAACTCTTCCTAAGTAGAAGCATTAGGAATTGAATGTCAAAATTTAGAACATGACCTTGACCTTTGACCTTGATCCTTTTTTCTTTTTTTTTGGATCAAGGACCTCAAATCAAAATACCCTAGGTCTCTATCACTTATGGTTTACCAATTACAATTACATTTTACTTATTTTAAATACAGAAGGGTAAATAACTCTCATATGGAGTTTCCGGACCGCTTCGGTCAAAATTATTTTTAATATAAGATCCTGAGGATATAACGAGCAAATTGGTGAAATAATTTTGTCGTAATCTTTAACGGTTGCGAACAAGATTTGTACACAAGAAAAACAGTGTTACGGGAGATAACTCTTACATAACAAAAGTGGTCGGTTAAACAGGGTCAGTTTAAAAGTCGCAATAACTGTTTGATATCATATGCAAAAAATCTAAGCGACATCTTGCGAAACGAAAAAGCACCGTCATAAAAAAAGTGGCGGAAGCAGAAAAAAAATTGATAATAATAATAATAATCAGAAGAAAATCAATAGGTCTTTCCACAGAAAAGTGGAAAGACCTAATAAATGTCAAATAGTAGTACATTCAGAAAGAAAATGGTTATACAGTTCAATACAAGTAACTCTTGTAAATAATTAAGAAAAACCTTTGAAATACCAAATGAATATATCAGAGAAAGATTGCACACACATATTTACATTTGCAAGAAAAATGATAGGTTGCATCGGTGCTTTACTATACTTTTCATAACATGCACGATATAAATGTGTACGCACGTTGAGACTGTGCGGTACTGTATTTTGTGACCCTTTTCTACATCAATAAATCTTAAAAATAATTAATGAAATTTAAGGGGGAAGTGCATACATAAAAAATACAAACAGAACTGCAGCAATATTTACTCATGACGGGTGTAAATGAACATCAATAATCAAACATGAAGGTGCATAAAATCGAGATATTCGGATTTCCATCTACGCCAAAATTCTTCTGATAATCCGTGTGCTCATTTCCATTTTTTCGACAAATTCAGTGTCAATATTGAGCTCCAATGTTGCTCCAATGAAATTAGTTCCTCGATCGGAATGAAATTGTATGATAGGCTCTCTAACTGCAATAACGCGTCTCATAGCTTTGATGAAAGACGAGGTTGACATGTCTTCTACAGCCCTTGGATGGTGTAAACTTCCCAAAAAAACGTGTATGGTGTAATGGTGTATGGCATATGGTGCAATGGTAGAAGGTGTATGGTACTATGGTATATGGTGTAAGGGGAATGGTGTTATGGTGTAACGTGCGATCGGGAATGGTGTGAATGAATGGTGCACGACATTTAAAACTATGCAAAATATTGATAAGAACTGATTTTTTTAATTTTATACATTAATTTACAATATTGTGATAAAAATTCGTTAAATAATTTTGTAGTCGCACGCTGTCTTTGAAATTAAATTGCATTATGGTGTAATGTGTAAGGTGTATGGTGCAAAGGTGTAACGTGTTATGGTGTTATGGCACAGGGTGTATGGTGTAATGGTGTATTGTGAATGGAGTAATGGTGTATGGTGTTAGTGGGAAGTTTACACCATCCAAGGACTGTATCACGTCGATATGCACAGCGCGTGTGGTCATGCACGTAAACAGTAACGCCCAACGTTTCTGGTTGGCTAAGCCTCCTATAGTTTTTCGAAATACGACGGACCATTGGCCAAATGTGTCGACGCCGACATAAGAAAATGGTGGACATGGGCTAAGTCGGTCTGTTGGGAGATCGGATATTTGCTGCCAATCAAGTTTTCCTCTGAGCTTCATACAAATTATGCACTTGTTGATGAGACTGGAAATAGAAAGGTTTGCACTAATAATCCAATAGCCTCCGGCGCGGATGGCACCTTCCGTCAGATGTCGACCTTGATGGTGTATACATGAAAATGATGATTAATAAGTGACGAAACATGGTGGTTCTTTGGAAGGATCACCGGATGGTGTGACATGTCTAATGAATCATTTACAGGAGCATGTTTGAGCCTTCCTTCTACTCGTACGAGTTCATCCGAACCTAGTATAGGAGACAGTTGAACCAAATGACTTTTAGATGTAATGCTTTTACCTTCTTGTAGCAACTTAATCTCGTCCGAGAGAGCATCCTGCTGAACTGAACGTAGTATTAAGTTTTCAGAGTCTCTAAGCAGATCAGGCGAAATAACTCCGTCTTGGTGCAGTTTCTTATGAATTACCGACTTTATAAAGGCGATGCTTCTAACGAGACGTGTCCATTGAGAAAACCTGTCGAATCTACCACATCCTAATGAAGTTTCATTGCATGCGATTTGGTGTTCTGTTTTTTACAGCTAACTGATGGACGAATTTCTTTGCCATTTTCTGGATCTACTAGTAAGTGATCGTGTTCATCTTGCTTATCGTTAGTGGAAAGCATTCAGGGGCCCTTTGCTCGCTGGAAGGTCTATTGTGCTGATGAACCTTGTAGCCAAATCAGCTTGATTTTCATTGGTAGACACATGGGACCACTGAGTAGGTTGACATGAAGAACGAATTCGGCTGACTCTGTTACCAGCATATATGTAGAAGCGTCTTGTGTCGATTGTCAAATATCAAAGTAGTACACGACTGTCTGTATATTAATAAAAATCATCTTTATTGATATCCAATTGATCGCGAATAATGTCAGATAGCTCTGCTGCAAAAACTGCAGCACACAATTCCAGACGAGGAAT